CAAGTATAGTCGCCTTTGGGAGAACTAGGAATAACGCCTTGGTGAAGGTCCACGCTGTAAGTAAAACACTTACTGTCATGGTAGAGCATGCCTGGCGCTGAATACCCTAAAGAAACGTGAGGTGCAAAATTCTTGACATGGAACGTTGGCACTTTCGTTAACTCTTGTCAGCTCTGAAATTGAGATTAAATATTTAACCGAGTTAGCCCAAGATTAAGAGTACGCTATGACAGTTGATCTTTGCTCTTGGCTGTCATTATCATGAAGAAGTAATTTTCTCTATAATGGTAATTTCCCACGGGGGGACGACATGTCATGTTCGTGCAGCTCCCGAGGTAAATTTGCCATTGACACTGAAACAGCAACTTACATTCTTATTATTTGATTATTTGATGTTCGTAACGTCCTTTACCGATACAACTAATCTACTACCGATGCTAATGCCATACCAATCACCACTACAACTACTGCTACTACAGCTAATACTAACGCTCATGATACTGTTTTGCTACAAATACTGCTACTGAGATACCATGCCGCAGTTTAACATGATTACCCCACTCAGACATATACTGACTTCGAGGAGACCAGTCCTTGTTTTACCCCCTTAATGCCAGGCAGGGTAACAACATGTACCATCTTGGGACGTGTAAGGATTGGTAGGACGCGGCCGCAGATCTAACACCGACCTTCCGTTCTCCGAGGAGACGCTCTATCCAGTGCACCACGCATCCGATCCGTTGTCAGCGTTCAATACTGCTTCTTCACTAAAACTAATCATTAACTGTGGATCGTAGAGATATTATCACATTCATATATGCCTCCAGAGACCAAATTTATTTTTTATTTATTAAAAAAAAAATTATGTCTGGTCTCTATCCTACTAATTGCTCAGGAATTGCTCTCGTTCTAGCTCCGGGAGAACAAAAAATATCTCACCTCGTCTCGTAAAATCAGTGCGACACACCCACACGCACGTAATACTCTCTAAGTACACTAACTAACACTGCCAGAGCAGAACTTTGTATTATTTCTCAAACGTAAAACATTATTTCAGCTCGGGGTGCATGAAGCAAATGTCACCGAGTTCCAAGTATACAGCTCTTCTTGACAAATCGATCAAGTTCCACCATAACAGGATTAGCTATCTTCCCCATCCTCCGCGAGGCCTCTCTCTCCGTCCGCTGCTCGGCGATTTCTACTTCTGTGCGTAATTCAAGGACTGATATTTCACTGCACTGGTGTGTGGTTTAGATATGCTACACTTTTCTCCTATTACATAAAATCTCATAAAATATAGACTGAAGGGACTCGCTGTCCAGAAGAAGGGTTTGATCTCGGGGATAGATCGTCTCCATGCATGGAATGAACTGGCCGACCCTCCCTGATCAAACCGAGTCGACGAAGCAGGAGACACATTTTTATGACATCTGATCTGCTTTCGTACATTTGTTACTTATGGGATTTTTTACTGCATTTGTTTCTTTTGGCAATAATCGTCGTAAAAAACCATTGGATGTAAAATGATGGGTTGCACATAAACTCAGTTTTTCAATAAAATATATTTGAACTAACCCGTTCTGAAACTTATTTGTGTTAAAACATTTATATTCCTTACGCTATGTATTGTGGTGGATGTAAATAGGACACATTTGCAATTTGCAGTGACGCATTATGATCATATGTCGCATAATACATTAAACTACGTTTATAACGAACACGCTTATAACGAACTGACTAAAACAACGAAATTATTTTTAGTCCCGGACATTTGTTGTATATATGCTGTATATATATGCTTATTACGAACTATGGTTATTACGAACTAAAATTAGTGATCCGTTTGAGTTCGTTATAACCGTAGTTTACTGTACTTTATTGAGGGTTTGTACGTATTTCAAGTCATATTGGGGTCACGGGTGGCCCAGTCGTCTGAGGCGCCGCATTTCGCTGTACAGAGTTGCGTCCCTTGGGAATTGTTTCAACGTTTTCGGCACCATACCCGTGCTCGTGGGTTTCCCCAAAGTGGTACACGTTTATGACCTGCATCACTTCGGGATTTTCTCCCACATTAAGCTGACACGCACTGATAAAACGCTTTGGAATACTGTTAAAAGCTGCGTGCAGTGTGTTTTTGTGTTGTTTAACGCCGCACTGAGTAATATTTTTCCATGCGAACGGAGCTAATATTCCGGTAAAAATAAATGTTTTTTGCTATTAGCTATGATTGTAATAATTTTCTCCAAGATGTAATTTTGCTTAAAGACGGCACATCATTCATGCGATAACATAAAACATTATTATTTAACAAAATAATTTCAATCGACACATTTGACTGACTATTTACAGGTGCGTGTGCGTGTGGTTTTGAAGTTTAACATGGGGGGGGGGGGGGGGGGGGGGGCTGGATTCCAACAACGGTCAGCGGATCCTGACACATTAAGGGGACATAACTGCATGGCTAATTCAATTCAATTTGGCCTCATTGGAACCAGCGTGACCCAATGCATATAGCAAAAACGAGGATGAGGATCTGCTAAAGCTTCATCAGAGGTGTGACGCGAGTGTGTGAGCAACACCCAAGCAAGCACGAACCTCACTTTTTTCAAATTCCTCTCTCGGCCTTTGCCTGTCAACGTATTGATTCACTGTGTGTTCTTCTTGCCCGTATTCCCCTCAACGTAATTTGCATACACGCGCAGCTTCTTTGACAGACATCTCTGTGACAAGTAACGGGAAGTCCATATTTATTTTTCCTTGCACAATCATGAGGCTACATACATGCTGTGCGTTATTCATCAATCAAATCAATTTTATTGTTTGAAGCAGTTTTAAATACATGGACATCTTAATAACGGCCATGTTAAGATATCTTTGCCTCAGAACCAGGTCGGGGGCAAGGTGGCCCAGAGGGCCGCGATTCGTTGTGCAGAGTTGCGCCCTTTTGGCATGCTGGAAACCTGTGATTGTGGGTTCGCCCCGATTGTTCCCAGGTTTGTCAGCACTCTACCCTTGCTCGCGGATTCCACCAAAGTGGTAAACGTCTGAGAACTGCACCACTTTGGGCTTTCCTCCCAAATTAAGATGCCACGCCCTGATTTAACTGGAATACTGTTGAGTTTCTGTTTGTTTATGGTTTAACGCCGCACTCAGCGATATTCCAGCTACATCAAAATAAATAATCGAGTCTAAACCAGACAATCCAGTGAATAACATCATGAGCATCGATCTACAAAATTGGGATACGATGACGTCCATCAACCAAGTCAGTGACCCTGACCACTCCATCCCGTTAGTCGCCTCTTACGACAAGCATGGTCCCTGTTTACAGCAAGCATGGGTTGCGGAATTCTCTTAAGAGCTGCATTAAACCAAACCCATTGAGAACAAGTTTGCATCTAATTACAGCAAGTTCCCAGTAACCAATGCTCTAACAGGGTGGTCGGGCTTTGTGATATAATATCAATGGCTAGTTTGCCTGGTTCAGAATCAATTATGCACAAGCTGTCATGATAATTATAGCTGTTTGTTTGTTTTGTTTGTTTATTGTTTAACGCCGCACTCAGCAATATTCCAGCTATATGACGGCGGTCTGTAAAATAATCGAATCTGGACCAGACAATCCAGTGATTGACATCATGAGCATCGATCCACGCAATTGGGATCGATGACATGCATCAACCAAGTCAGCGACACTGACCACCCAATCCAGTTAGTCGCCTTTTACGACAAGCATAGTCGCCTTTTACGGCAAGTATGGGTTGCTGAAGACCTATTCTACCCTGGAATCTTCAGGGGTCTCATGAAATAGCTGGAACACTCATTACAAAAAAACCAACAGACACACACACACTTGCACACAAAACACAGATAGGTCGGCCGTGTCTCTGCAATTGGCGTCCATGAATAAATACCAGTCAAGAGAAGTTAAAGGACCACTCAATTCTTTCATATTACTATAGATTCTTTCATATTACTATAGCTAATCTGTCATACCATGGCATATTAATTAACTGTAGTAATATGAAAGAATCGAGTTGTCCTTAGCTTCTTTTGAGTAGTATATAAAAGTATTGTGCGGTATGATCAAAATGTCCCTTATAAACATTATCTGCTGTCGAAAACAAATATTTCCAAAGTGTATGACTGTTTCGTGATTATATCATGACAGATTCTTTAGTTTAGCATAGTTATTAGGACATAACTTTTGTCTCATTATTGAAGGTGGGGTGTCTTCATTGTAACCAAGGGAACAGGTTATAACTGATCTGGGAAGTTAGATCACTGAATGTAACCCATTCGTAGACTGAGGTGAGGTGAAATGGGGTTTATTGCACTTATATAGCAACCTGCATGTACGTGTGTGTGTGTGGCTGCTTGTACAAGTCCGGACTTATGCCGAGTTTATAGTGCAAGCACACTGAGATTCGTCACAGACACAGTATAAACTGACTTCAAGCTTACCAGTCCTTGTTTTAGACCCTAAATGCCGAGCGTCAGACAGGGTAACAAAAACTACCAGCCCGGACCTTCCGCTCTCCGGGCGGACACTCTACCACTAGACCACAGAGGCGGTTCCCATAGACTGAGTGGACGAAGGTTTCAACAGGCAGATAGAGCTTCATTGGTAAAGGTCATGAGGCATTTCTGACCTGATGCCTTTCAAGATGACTTTAGAATGAGTGAGTAAATGTTTGGCCAGCTGCTAATGGGAACTGAGGGCCGTGTCAGAAACAGCTCAGCCATATTCACCATCAGCAATCTTTCAGCCAGTCCTCATTCATCAGTATTTAAGCCTGTTACCAATCATCAGTATGTCACCCAATCAGCAATATTTCAGCAAGTCCTAAATGAGCAATATTTCAGCCACTCATCAATCAGCAATATTTCACCTTGTCAACATTCAGCAATGTTTCAGCCACTCATTAATCAGCAATACTTGAGGCAGTCCTCAATCAGCAATATTTCAGCAATACTTCAAAAATCACAAAACAATAAAATCATTCTTGACATTTTATTGCAAAGTATCCTTTACTAGTTTTTGCCTCTAACTTCATATTTTGATTGCGGACGTCACAAAGTGACACATACAAAAAAAACTGTATATTATTTACAAGCTTAACAAAACATTAATATCTCAGTTTAGCTCGCACATAAAAATAAATATGCAAACTCACAAATAAGTAAACATTGCATTTACACTGTACAAAATGAATACAGATGAAGATATGTATTTAGCTGATTACAGGCAATAAGATGGGCTTTCATATATCCTACTTCACACACTCATGCACAATGATCAGCTTCAATGATGGATGTAAGTTATGGAATCTATAATCATCAATAATACTCCATCTTCTAATTAATTATCATCAAGTCTTGATTATTGTTTTCTAAAATTCATTGAAGTTAAATCCATATCAAGTATAGTTGATGACTGTTGTGTCCACCTTGGAGTCTGTCCTACACAATGGCTACAGGTTTCAGTGTCATGGCACCGATTGCATAGAAACACAAAATGAAAAAATATAATATGTGTTACTAAAATTTCATTCTTATGTAAGAAACCATAAAAATTGCACAAGAATGTGTTTTTTTTCAAATTGAACATGAGGTAATATGAGTATATATTTTCTAGATTAGAATTTCTCTTTGAGCCCAGCTTCCTAAGATTGCCTTGGACCTAAAAGTATGATTCAAACAACCAAAAACTTGACAAATTCACTTTGACTATGAAGGACAACGAGCGACTGTCAAAGACAGTGAGTGACAAACAAACAGGGAAAATGAGGGGACCCTTATTCAGGTGTGATAACCGTGTATTTGACTTAATATAATTGGACACAACTGTTAACTATACTTGTATGAACTGAATGATTACCAAGATAGGTTTACTTAATACAAAAGCATCACAGATTACTTTAACTTGATTTACTTGATGATTTATGAATCCTTAACAGTTGATGAGAAATGAATTGTAAAATTGACAGCACTGGTAAGACTGTTTGCATAGTACTTCTCTGGCCCTAACTGATCCTGGATTCTGGAATTAATGGCGATGCTGATAATGAAATAGACAACTTTTCCTGTAAAGGAAGGAAGAAAGGATTTTATTCAGGGAGGGGAAGAGTTTAAAATAACGCCTCCTGGCATGTCTGGAATGTGAGTGATCAGAAGACGAACAAACACCTATATGCCAGTGTCAACAATTCTAAAATAAACAAACAAGATAAAATTTGACAGATGTCTATTTCATAGTCAGGTATCTTTGGTGTGTTCATGTCAATGTAAAATGCAGATGCAGCAGTTTGGCATAATTTACTTAAAAAACCTTGTTTGAATGGTTCTATCTGGTAACTACATTCATGCTTGTACCATTCACACTCTGTACACTGTTACGATTCCTTTATATATCTACAAGACATGGATTTGTTAAATATGCAGCAAGCATGACACTTTAAATAATCTCATTGTTAATGTACACTTGCTTCTAATGATGTCAGGCTAACCATACTAAAATATTCAATGACTTATATACACAGATGATCTACAAAAATAGACACTTTACCAATACGTCAGCAAGCAGGCACATCGCACTGCTGAATGGTTGTACATGCATCCTTGTTACTATGGCAACATCAGAAACAATGGTCCACATTTGCATAATTATTTCACTGTTTGTCCATAATGCTGATAGCACGTCATAACAACACGGACAACTAGATGCTTGCAACCATGTCAATTGGAAAGGTCTCTTATCACAATCATTCATAAAATATCCATACGGTTTCATAAAATCAATACATTCATATAGTTCAATGTCACGGTTCATATCCGGAACTCTTGTTCCGACTCTGAAGAAGCGCTCATTGCGAGCCGGATATTTTGTTTTGAGACACCTTTTCCTGGAGTATTATGTCCGGAACTATGCGCAGACCCGTGAGCACTAACAACTGGAGAGGGGGAGCCCGTTGCCAGGGGAGACAGGGAGGGGGTAAAAGAGGGGGTGAGGGCTGGTGATGTGACACTTGAGTCGTAGCTTATTGGCGAGCGGGGTAGGCTTGGCATTGAAGTGTTCATGGTGCTAGCTCTGGCTGAAGGGATGCCACGGGATGAACTACCGGAAGATGTGTGACTAGGGCGAGGGGCAAAGGCTTTTGGTGGTGCATTAGTAATCATGGGTGGTGGCACCATCTTGACCTTAGGGGTCAGCTGTGTGTTTAAATGTCTTTGAGGAACTGTCCGCACTGGAGGTTTCCTTGGCTGAACATTATCATCTTTTAATTTGGCAATTTCAGCAAACACATGAGCAAGGGGTTGGTACTGTGGCCCCCAATTGAGGAGATAGTCCCAGTTATAAGACCCACTATATTCTTCTTCACTATTAATAACACTAGAAAGAGAGCCAGCGTGTTGAGTTTCTGGCTCATGGAAGCCCAAGTCTTTGTTTCTATCAATCATGGCAACCTCTTCGTCGGTCTCCATGTCAGTCATCTTATCATAGTCACTGTGACCCATGTCTACATTCCCCTCGCCACCACCTTCATCGGAAAACTGATGCATGCTTTCCACGGAATGAGCAATTTGATGGGCTTTGGGTTTAGGTTTTCCAATCTTTGTAGAGTCTATACCTAATTTGGCTAAATATTCTTGGTGGTTTTGTACTGATGGCTCAGAGAGGGTATCTTCATCCTGTTGAATCCCTGAATCCGGCATCTGTTTGCGCCGCATGAATGTCTGTGAGCTCTGAAGCTGTGTGTTGGAATTGATCATCCTTATTTCTTCATCTTCCTCCTCTTCCGCCGAGCCCCGGCCACTGGAGGCAGAATGTGATTGGTCGGATATATCGGAGCTTGTCACATTAGATGCATCCGGTCCAAAGTGCAGATGTTCTTTATAAGGCGGAGGTCCACCATTGATATGAGGTCGCATGGCAGGAGGAGGCGTAAAACTAAATGCAGCACTGTCAACATTTTCGTTGGGGTCATGGGGAGGCCGCTTGTTGCGCCTTCGTCTACTGCTCACAAGACATATTATAACAATAATGGTGGCCAGCAGGACCAACACACTCACCACAATGATCATAGCAATGGCAACTTTACTCATTCCATCAACAAGAGGCTGGGGAACATACACACATCCTTCACAATCACGATCAATAGCAACCTCCACTCTGGACGTGGATTCCAGCGAATCCTCCCTCCCTGACCACGCCCTGATAATCAGAGGCGTGGAATCACCTGTCAATGCACGCTTCCGTCTTTGTGAAGGTGCATCTTCATGGAATGACCGTTTCACAGTAATGTTCCCAGTTGTTGGGTTGATCTCGAAATAGTCATCAGAGTATTCAATCATGTACACCACTTTCCCCGCGTTCCCTCCATCCTGGTCAGTGGCACTGACCTGTCCGACATAGTCACCACGTCTAGCACTACCCGATACATTAAAATTGTAACGCTCTTTAAAGAACTTGGGCACATACTCATCGACATCCAAAACCTTCACTGTTACATCAACAACACTTGTGTACTGAGGGTCTTGTACCTTGATGTGGAAAGAGTAGGAATTCCGGGCCTCGTAGTTAAACTCGGATCTGGTTAGGATGTGTCCCGTCTTGCTATTGATGGAGAAGTGGCCAGCATCGGAACTGTTTTGGAGGATGCTGTAAGTGAGGATGCCATACATCCCACCATCCCCATCATTGGCTTGAGCTTGGAACACTGTGGTGTTCGGGGGCTGATTTTCCTTCACACATTCGTTGTAAGGTGAAATGGGAAATTCAGGCTGAAACTCATTCACATCCGACACATTAATCTGAATTGTAACAAATGCTGACAACCGCGGCTGGTCTGGCAGACACCTCGTACAATCCACTGCTCTGACAATAAGTCGGTGGGATTTATGGCTCTCGTAATCCAGGTGAGCCCCGGGCATGATAAACAAGCTGCCGTTAGTTCCATGAATATGGAAAATGCCTTCGTTGTTTCCAGATGTAATAGTGTACTGTATCTCAGCATGAAGACCTTCGTCAGCATCGTCAGCAACTACATGTTCAAACACCTTCTCAGGTGGGGTATTTTCGGGGAGAAGAACATGGTATATGTTGTCCGGCTCATGGAAACGAGGTGGATTATCATTCTCATCCTCAACAATGATCTTCACAGGCACGGATGAACTCTTCGGGGGATGGCCGCGGTCCGTGGCAACAGCTGTGAGATTATACTGGGAGACATTTTCTCGATTGGCCTGGCTCATGAGGAAGATCTGGCCGGTCTTTCTTCGAATTTGGAAAGTATTGGCTCCCTCACCGATAAGTTTGTAGTTAACGTTGTCATCACGATGTATGTGAGTGATGTCTCTGTCGATGGCACTCACATAAAGAATGGACTCGCCTCTGACACTGAATTCACTGATGTTGACTCTGAAGAAAGAAGCAAAGTATTCAATGACATAGTCTTATGGAACTTCTGTGTAGTGTATCTAGTGGATGAAAGACAGAATGTTAACTAATTTACACTTCAATATTACAGCTAAATCAGGTTTGTAAATGCAGTTTCCTAAAGTTGATTTGCAATTTGGCTGGGGTACCTGTATATTCAGATGGAACCGTCATATTGTTTGTTATTTATTGCACTCAGCAATGTTCCAGCTATATGAGATAGGCAAGAGAATTTATGGACGTCAACTTCTTTATAATGAGGAACACAAAGTTTCGGAGTATATACTTACTCCTTCATCATGTGACATTGGTCTGTAAATAATCAAGTCTGGACCAGACAATCCACTGATTAACAGCATGAGCATCAATCTATGAAATTGGGGTGCAATGACATGCAACTACCACATTAGCAAGCCTGACCACACAAATCTGTTTGTTGCTTCTTATGACAAGCATGGAATGCTGAAGATTAATTCTAACCCAGATCTGTTCTGGCAAGGGGAAGCAACATTAAGCATCGTAAACATCAGTGTCATGACTACGTACTCATAGCTGGTCTGTTCAAACTGTGGACTGTATTTGTTGATGTCAGTGATCTGGATGTGGACTGCCACCATGTCGGACAGAGTCGGGGAGCCGCCATCTTGTGCAATAACCACAAGCTCAATGATGGAGGAAAAGGCCTCGTAGGTCAGCGACTTGTTGGTGTAGATTGTACCTGCACAGAAACACAGATACATGTATGGTCAAAACACAGGGTCGTTATTTTTTGGGAAGAGTGAGCAAGAATGGCTTTCCATCATGTCATCAGATTTACAAAAACACATTGTGGGTGGGCAAGTGAATGAGGGTAAGGGGTTTAGTGCAGTGTTCTAAAGACATCTGGGTTCATCAGCTGGAAATAAAAGAGATCAGTGAGACCGCCTCATCTGTTTCATATTCAGATCCAAGCAAAAAGAGAGACAAGAAAAACACTCCACAAGATTGTAGTCAATGAGTATGGTTTTATGCCGCTTTTTAGCAGTATTCCCACAATATCACAGCAGGGGACACCCGAAAATTGGCTTCACACCTTGTACCTGTGTGGGAATCGAACCCTGAGATTTTGGTGTGACGAGCAAACGCTTTAACCAATAGGCCATTCCAGCTCGCCCCATCCCCCAACAAGACTGTATGACAAGTAGGATGACTTCAACTTTCCAATAGTCAATTTTCCCTTCATGTCAAGCAATATTCCATATTAATCATTATTAGTATTATTATTATGTGCAACCCATGAAAACAGGTATAGGATCATAATGCGGGCAAATCTAGGATTCGAACCCAGGACCAGAGAAACCTTGAAGTGCCGAGTTCAATGCTTCATAAATTGTTTCCATGTGAGGAACAAGTCGAAATATGAAGAGACTTGACCCTTAAATAACCTCCAACCAAAGTATCAAGTAGGTGATTAAACAGTCCAAAATATCCCCAGTCAAGCCATCCATCTTTACCTGTGTTTGAGTTGATGTAGAAGCTGTTGTTAAAGTTGGAGCGGAGACTGTAGTTGATGACCTTGTTGATCCCCGAGTCGGCGTCGGTGGCATTGACGGTGATCACAGATCTGCCTGGGGGTGTGGCCTCCTCTAGTGCCACCTTGTAGAGAGAAATCACATTAGTTGACACAAGGAACACTTCATTCAGTCATATATGTTATATCACAAATATCGACTTCCTTCAAATGTGAACACGGACATGATTAAATCATTCAATCTGCAATTAGGTAACCATTTGCTGGTCAGATATCTTGACTGAAGGTATATTTCAATCTTTTCACTTTAATCTCTGCATGTACAGTTGAAAGAAAACAATATTTGATTTTCTTAGATAAATGCATTTAAAGTACAAAAAGTAGAAATAAATATTCAAAATCAGTTAACTGAATTATAGTAATAATTGAGTTAGTCCCTAAAAAGTTCTCTAAAATGTCAATATGTATCACAAATATTGACTTCCTTCAAATGTGAACACAGACATGATTAAATCATTCAGTCTGCAATTAGGTAACCATTTGCTGGTCAGATATCTTGACTGAAAGTATACATCAATCTTTTCACTTTAATCAAAAAACACTTTCCTCAATTTCCAACAATGCTTTATCTGTAATCATTTCCATCAGCTTTCAACCTTTCATTATCCAGTTCAATAAGTTTACAGAAGCACATGGCAGTTGGGACCTCACCTGGTAATTCTGCTGACTGAATTCTGGAGCGTTATCATTCTCATCGTCAATGTAGATGTCAATCTGCGTGAACGCATTGTGTTTCCCATCAGACACCTGCAACATTCAAATGTTGAAATCTGCAGACACAAATACATTACACAAACATGTCTATACTGTGATGTTCATGAAAGGGTCTTGAAGCATGACCAATAAAAGAATAATAATTTCTATCTCAATAATTACTGTTGTCTGAACAGGTAAACTCCTGTTCTTTGTTTTCAGCAATATTCCAGCTACATGAAGGCAGTCTGTAAATAATCGAGTCTGGACCAGACAATCCAGTGATTGACTGACATCAAGAGCATTGATCTATGCAATTGGGATACAATGACAAACATCAACCAAGTCAGTGAGCCTGACTACCAAATTCCATTAGTCGCCTTTCACGACAAGCATAGACGCCTTTTTGGCAAGCATGGGTTGCTGAAGATCTATTCTACCCCGGATGTTCACAGGAATAAACTCCTGTTCTTACCATAATTCCCAGTACATAGTGGTTCCTGACTTCATGGTCAACAGCCTTGGCCAGGGAGATGCTGCCACTGAACCTGTCGATGCTGAAGCTGCCGTCACCGTTACTGTTGGGTTGGAAGGAGTAGACAAGCTTGGGCTGGAAGTCCACATCAGTAGCAGTTACCGTAGTAACCTGGGATCCCACTTTACGAACTGAAAACACAACACATACATGATGTTCCTAAGCTCGAAGGAGGAATAACTTTATCTTGTTATTGGTCATATACATGACTTGAGGTTACTTTGACTAGTATTCTACTGAAAAATGTTTGTTGCCTCTTACGTCAACCACAGGCAGCTGAAAACAAATTCTAACCTGGACCTTTATACATGAGTAATAGTTGACATATTTGTCCACAGGGTCCTATTAACACGAAGACTGAATAATAATAACCTTACAAATAAGGATCGTCACAGCTTATACTTACTTTCACTGATGTGCACGGACTGAAAGGTACGGAAGAAAGGCGCGTTGTCATTCTCGTCGTTGACGTTGATGGAGAGGATGCAGGTTGATGACAAGCTGGGGTTTCCTTGGTCCACAGCTTCGATCGTCAGCTGATACGTGTCCTGGATCTCCCTGTCCAGTGATGAGGAATCTTTCGATGTAATGATGATGCCAGTGTAGGGAGGTTGAATTACGAAGGCGTCGTCTTTGTTGCCGTTGATGATGCTGTACAGAACCTGACCATTCCTCCCTGTATCCTCATCATTGGCCTGTACCTGCAAGAACAACACGCTTTAATATTACAGCGTAGGTTCTTAAATACTTGCTTCTCTGTCACAAAGTTATATCATTATTTGTTTTTTTTCCATCCTAGTTTTCGATTGTGTGGATCCGAAAGAGAAATACTAATAGGATTTTTGGTGTTCATCTAAGTTCATCTAAGTTCATCTGACTACCCGATTCATTGTTTTCAAGAACCACTGACTTGTTATTAGTAACAAAGGATCAAACACACACAATTCCTTAACTTGAAACTATGGTAGGATGTCAGACTTGAATACTGTTTAAATAAAACCAGATTTAATCTGAATATAGTTGCTATTTTGGAGGTAGTTACCATGGTGACGAAGGTCTCTGGGGCGTTGTTCTCCCAGACTGAAGTGATGTATTTGTTCTGTGTAAATTTGGGAACATTATCATTGACATCAGTCAAGTTGACCCAGACAGTGGCATAGGCAACAACTCCTCCTGCTGCAGCCTGGACAATCAGGCGCACTCTTGGACTCATCTCGTAGTCGATCAGATCAGTGTTGTGTACCGAGATCATTCCTGTAATTGGAATTTAAACGTTTGAAATGATTTTTTCTCACTGCTGGTTGTACTGTAAAAGTATGGAATATATAAATCTTAATAAGCATATTTTATATCTACAGCCCTTATATTTCCACCAAGCAAGCCTGGAAATCGGTATATTTAATATTTGGGTTTTCATTCCAAATTTTTACACTGAGAGAAAATCCTCTATTCAATGTTGCACTCACCATTGTTGGTGTTGATGCTGAATGGGTTGCCGTTGTTGCCGCCAGCGAACCTGTAAGTGACGATGTGGGAGTCGTACATAGCTCCCACCTGAATCACCCCTGTCCCATTGGGCCGATCTTCTCGAATGGTTTGATGATACACTTCCTGAGTGAAAGACAAGGATGGGCTGCTGGGGCTTCCCACTGTGATCTCAACAACTCCTGCAATCAAACATCAATACTGTCAAAACTTAGTCCATTTGATTCATTTCATAATTCTAGTGTTGGCACGGGTGGCCCAGTCGTCTCAGGCGCCGTGATTTGCTGTGCAGAGTTGCGTCCCTTGGGCACGCCAGAAACCTATGATTGTGGGTTCGAATCCCGGTTCGCCCTGATTATGTTTCTAGATTTGTCAGCACCATACCCATGCCTGTGGGTTTCACCGAAGTGGTAAATGTCTGAGACCTGCATCACTTTGAGCTTTCCTCCCACATTAAGCTGACACACCGTAATATAACTGGAATACTGTCAAACTCGGTGTTAAACCCAACTCACTCACTCACTCACTCACTCATAATTCTAGTAAAATCTAGATATTTATTATTAGCAGCACATTTGTTCTGTTTCATGACCCAAAGTAAAATGGAGACACCATACGTCTACCACTTCCGAAATGACGTGGCAGCTGAATGCTTCTGAATGGAACAACACTTTTTAATTCTTCAGCAGGATCAATCACAGCTTCACTACTGTCAAAGGTGAGCAGTAAATGCATTAAGGAGTAATGCAGGAAAAGTTAAAATAATTATAATTTTAGAGGGGGCGGTGGGATAGCCTAGTGGTTTCCTTGTCACACGCCAAAAACCTGGGTTTAATTCTCCTCATGGGTACAATGTGTGAAGCCTATTTCTGGTGTCCACTGTCGTGATATAGCTGAAATACTGCTAACAACAGAGTACAACCAAACCCAACTCATAAGTTTAGTTAGTACTGACCGGTGGAGCTGAGGACTGGGTTGCCCTTGTCCATCACGACAATCTGTATATTGTGGTAGCCAACGGCTCCACCAAGGTCCCTCTTGGTTATGATGGCTGCTCCGTTCATTTCAAAGTACTGCTCACTCCCAGATGCCAGGTCCATGCGATATTCAACATCTCCATTGTCCCCCTCGTCGGGGTCCGTGGCCGATACGGTCAGTATCTCAACCCCTCTCCCTGTGGATGGACCCACTGACCGTCGGTACGGCACTTCCGCAAACACAGGGGCGTTATCATTGATGTCACTAATGATGATGTCAACTCTAGCAGTGCTGTTCCGAGGGCCTGAAATACCTCCATCCATGGCCACGATATCAAACGAGTAACTGCTCTTCTTTTCTCTGTCAAACAACCTGTAATAACAAACAATAGACTGTACACATCTCGTAACGGGTAGAACAAATCTATTACATTCAGACAGTCCTAATATGATTTCCTTTAAAGCAGGAATTCAATCACTTTTCCTTGCGAGGCTCTTAAACAATCTGAGAATCGCTACACTAAAGCTTGGTCTCTGAAAAAACATTTTGGGACAGAAACAAACAATTCCATATAAATAGAAAAGAAGCCCCAGTGAGACCTGGCAAAATCTAGCCTTGCTTTATTTAGTGCTATAGCATTACAGTGAGGACTGGGCAGACGGAAAATGATATGGTTCTGGACTGTGAGGACCAATCAATCTCCAACAATGTGCAAAAAGATGATTACCCAGTGGTGGTTATCTCCCCTGAAGAGGCATTCACACTAAACAGTCCTTCAGTGTCGTTCCCGAGGGAGTAAGTGAGATCACCGTTGTGACCTTTGTCAGCATCTGTGGCCATGACCTGCAGAACGGTGTGACCTCTCTGTATGTCTTCTGGGATGGGCGAACTGTACATGGGCTGACTGAAGTGGGGGTCATTGTCATTCTCATCCAGCACCGTGATGAAAGCTAGGCTTTCCCCAGAGCGAGGCACGGACCCCCGGTCAGTAGCTGCGATGGTCAGGTTGTATTCCTCTGTGGACTCTCGGTCCAAAGTTTTACAGGACAGGTCTCCAGTGATTGGATCCACAGAAAACTTCCCTTCTTCATTTCCATCTGGGAGGTGAAACAAAAGCTGATTAGCATCTTAAGATAAGAAATATTAAATCTCAATGTAAATTTGAATTGTTTTAGTCATCAACTAAATCTTAAACTATCAAATCAAAAACCCTGAGCTCTCAAATACTGTGACCTCAAACTGCCCTAAATTAATGAAACCTTATGATTCTGGTAAAATCCTTACCATCAACCCCTTCACATTTTTCAAAATCACTGATCTGCCTCACTTTAGTATCAATCAATGCACCAGCACATCCTGCAGTGAACTATTTCAGAAACAAGCACTATCTATTCCTGGTGGACGCTGTCTGGGAGACGAAAGTTGGAAGCTCTGGGGACGTTATTTCCTAATTCAACATCAATATCTCAAAGTGGCAAAAACATTTGAAATCATCAAAGTGCTACAATCACTGCAGTGCCTTTTTTTCACCAAGACTTCGAGATCAATCAGACCCAAACAGACATGGACTCCCATTAATCTCTTAAATCAGTCCTCTCAAACTCATTTTGACTCAAAACTCTCCAGACCAATCACTACCCTGTAAAGAGGTTGCACTTCATGATTGTCACATCTGAACTTGAGCCGATCTGATAAGAGCCAATCTGAATTCTGAATATTATCTCTTTGATAACATGCAATGTATTTTTTATTCAACTCACCAGTGATGCTGTAGAGTATGTCAGCGTTTTGCCCAGAGTCGGCATCGTAGGCGGTAAAAGCGAAGATGGATGTTTGCTCACTGTTTTCAGGGATGTTAAGTTTGTAGGTTTTACTTTTAAAAACTGGAGTATTGTCGTTGATGTCCAGGATACTGATGATGATGGTTGCCTGGTCGTAGTTGGTGGGGTAGCCGCCGTCACGAACATACACTGAAATGAAGAAATCATCATCATCATCATCATCATCATCATCATCATCATCGGTAACCAATCATCATTTCGATGAAACCAAATGACCTTAAATCATCATCAACCTCCTCCTCCTCATCATGATCATGATTGCAGTAACCAATCATCATTTCGATGAAACCAACTGACCTTAAATCATCATCAACCTCCTCCTCCTCATCATCATCATTGCGGTAACCAATCATAATTCTGATGAAACCAACTAACCTCAAGTATTACTGTAAACTTTGTCAACACAAACCTAAGCCCTGTATGACCACATCATTCACAATCATGGCGGACTGTTGACCATTTCTACCCACAGACATCTCTTACTCTTCTTAACACTGATTGGCAAATGGTACCAAAGATCTTTTAATACTAAGACATCATTAATACCCACAGGTTGCTGTTGAATAAAGATCTGTATCATCACTATTGATAAACACATTCTCAAGGTATAGTCAGAATTGTACAAAGGAAATTTCTTATGATTATGGAAATGTTTTTTGTCACTGTTAATTATTACTCTTAAAACATCCTTGGCGAAGATGGGGTAAATCATAAAGATCCCTTATTACAAGGGCACTCTTAACACAGCGTGTCAAGTTTAATTCTCTGTCCCTATCATACACCTACCTGACACAATGTACGTATCCTTCTCTTCTCTGTCCAGTGACATGGTTGCCTTGACCACTCCAGTGGTGCTGTCGATAGTGAATTTGTTGTCAGCAATACCACTTGGAATCATGTAGGTCAGTCTGGCATTAGAGCCAACGTCGGCGTCCGTAGCATGGACGGTGACAACAACGCTGTCGGAGCTGGCGTGTTCTGGGATGCTGGCGTGGTAGGTGGAGTTGGTGAAGTGAGGGGCGTTGTCGTTGACATCTTTGATGATGATGTTGAGCACTTTGTGTGAAATCCGCTTTGGTGAACCATGATCCTCAGCACTGATGTTGAGAGCATAGGAGCTCTTTTCTTCCCGGTTCAGAGAGTTTGCTATAGTCAGCAGGCCTGAGAGAAAAAAATAACACTACAATGAAAAATCTAACAATACCATACAATCAATAATATTTTCTACATTACTTAAAGATCCATAAATATCAACACTACATCCCAAATCATTGAAAAATCATTGAAAACTCAATGAAACCTTCATTCATCTACCAGCATAAGTTGCAACCAACCATCATGCATGCAATTATCACCAATTATGTCTTATGTTCAATGGTGTTTTATTATATTCAATGGTGTTTTATTATATTCAAAATAAAATAAGCACAGTGCACAGGTTCAATGACAATGATTTTCGAATAATTGAAATTAAGAAATATTTCTCTGCTGTTTCCAAAGATTGTATGCATTAACAACATGCTATATTGCAGGGTGTTTATTCCTGAACCAAGAAGACCTGGGAAGTTCTTCATGGAAAGATGTTGTTTACAAAATTTGTTTTGTTACCCTGCCCTTGTTTGTTACCTGTGGTGCTTTCCAGGTCAAACTTGTCCGCGTTGTTGCCGGAGAGGATCTTGTAGGTGACCAGGTTATTCCCGCTATTGTTCTCATTAGCGTCCTTGTCAGTAGCCAGCAGATACAGCACAGGATAGTCGACATTTTCGTCCTCAAAGATCTCCACCTGGGCTGGTGACTCGAAAATGGGGTTGTTGTCATTGACGTCTATCACATACACAATTGTCGTTACAGACGCGTTCAGCATGCAGTCCTGAGTGGGACATTTGTCTAGAGCTTCTACTATCAGGGAAATTTGATGAACCTTCTCGTAATCAATATTTTTCTTGATCTTCAACTGCCCTGAACTGGCATCGATCATGAAATAGCTACCAGCATCTGGATTTGGCCCGGAGTAGGATTCACTGGTGATTCTGTACTGAACAGTTCCATTCTGTCCAGAGTCTTTATCAGTTGCTGTGAATGTGTACACTGCATGACCCGTGGGAGTGTTTTCCTTGACAGTTCTCAGCAGAACAGGATCTTGTTCAAAGACTGGAGCATTATCATTGATATCCACAACCCGAATTGTCACGCTTATGTTGCTGCTCTTGGGGTATAGTGCGTTGTTGTCGATGGCTCGAATTCCCAGTATGTGAGATGACGATTCCTCGTAATCGATTTCCCTAATACTAGTTATCTCCCCTGTAATGCGGTCCACTGTGAAAAGGCTAAACACATTTCCTGATATGATGTAGTACGATACACGGCCATTTTCACCCGAATCCCTATCGTGGGCAGTGACGACGCCTACAACGGTCCCAATATCAGTGTTCTCAACGACATCAAATGTGACGTTCTTTGCATGAAACAAAGGTGCCTGGTCATTGACATCGCCAACCGAAACGACGATGGTCTGCCTACTCTGCTGCGACCTGACCCCGTTGTCCCGGGCGATGACCTCCAGCTTGTACTGCTGTCTGGTTTCAAAGTCCAGAACTTCCTTCGTGGTAATCCAACCTGACGAGGCATGGATGGCAAAGTTGTTTGTTCCGGCATTCTCTCCAGGCGCTGAAAACAGAACAACAATTTTCTGTGGTTCTGAAAACTAATTTTGATAAATGAAAGCACTTTTGAATTCTTAAATGAACAAAGTGCTATGTCTTTCTGCATAACAGACTCAGATACTCTCAGCTAAATCAGTTCTAAAGAAAACAAGTAGCCCTTTCAGATTTTCAATTGTCTCAGGACTAGTTAATCCACATCTAACTCTGATCTGTGTACACATGGTGGTCTGATTCGGTCAATAACAGGTTATTTAAAGTCCCTATGTTAAAATGGCAAAAGAAACCCCTGTCTTGTAATGAGGATGGAAACACTTTCAATTCATCTTACTGTATTTTACTTTCTCACCTCACACTGATTTGTATTTGTTCAATTTCTTACCATTTGCTAGAGAATACGCTACTGTGCCATTCTCGCCAGCATCTTGATCAGTAGCAATCACTTGCATCACTTTGGTCCCTTTCGGACGGTTCTCATCCACTGTGGCTTCCTTGGGCTCTCTTCTGTCAAATTCTGGGGGATTGTCATTGATGTCCAAGACGTCTATCTTTACCGTTGCTGAGGCGGATCTAGGTGGGGTCCCCATGTCAGACACAATCACTGTGAGCACCTCATCACTCTCCAGCTCTCGGTCCAGCCTCTCCATCGTGGTGATTTCCCCATTGTGGGGGTTAATCACAAATTTGGGTGGGGTATTGAGGAACCGAAATTGAAGTTCTGCATTTTGGTTAATATCAGAATCAAGTGCCATGACTCGTCCGACGGTGCTAGCGATCGGAAGGTTTTCCTGAATTGTGAAGTGGTAAAATCCACTTGAGAAGACTGGATTGTTGTCATTTTCGTCTGTGACATGAATTCTCACCTGTGCTGTGGATGTTAGCCTCGAAGGCTTCCCGTGATCACTTGCAATCACTGTCAAAACATACAAATCAATTTCTTCACGATCCAATGGCTCTTTCACATATAAATTGCCGTTTGGAGGATTGATACCAAACACAGATGAATACATGCTGTCTTCAAAAATGTAAAACACCCTCCCATTTTCATTTGAATCTCGATCAGTTGCATTTATCTGTGCAAATGAAGCTGTCAGTTGTATATTTTCCCGAACGCTGAAATTATAAACCGATCTAGCGAAGGTTGGTGGGTTGTCATTAACGTCCTTGACATTTATCACCAAGGTCATGGTTGAACTGCGAGGTGTTGGGACTCCCTGATCTGCAGCAACAATCTGCATTTCGTATCTCTGCTGATGCTCGTAGTCCAACTTTCCCTGGAGTCGGATTTCTCCGCTCATAGGATCGATGCGGAACAAGTTTCCTGGATTGTTCAGTAGGCTGTACTGAATTGTTCCATTCCTCTCATTGTCTCCATCGGTTGCCTGGACAACATAGATGTTGGAAGTCATGTCACGGTCCTCTCTCTCGTTGATTTCCAAGTAGTTGTTGCTAACTGCAAAACCTGGAGAATTGTCGTTGATGTCTAGGATGGTAATATTCACCTGAAAAAAAAGACAAAGTACTTATTTTATGGTAATATTAACCTGAAAACAAGGATGGAGTACCCATTCTATGGTAACATTTGTGGGAACAGGTGGCCCAGTTGTCTAAGGCGCCACAATACGCTGTGCAGAGTTGCGTCCCCTGGGCATGCCAAAAACCAATGATCATGGGTTCGAATTCCGGTTTACCCAAATTATGATTCCAGGTTTGTGAGCACCATATCTGTCGTCATAGTTTTCACCAAAGTGGTTAAAGACTAAGACTTGCTTCGGGCTTTCCTCCCACAATTAAGCTGCCACACTGTGTTATTCATAACTGGAATACTGTTCAAAGCGGCAAAAACCCAACACTCATTCACACTTTTGTGATATTCTCATTCACACTTTTGTGATATTTATCTCAAAACAAGGACACATAACTTACTGAATGGCAATATTAAACCTAACCCAAGAAATGCTTATTTCTAGGTAACATCTACTTTAAGACAAGGGCACATAACTCTGAGGTAATAGTATGTGGTCCCATCACAAAAGATTTTCCTTCGACTGTTAGTGATACCATTTAGATAAATATTTATTGCTGTTTCCACGAGAATGAAGCTAAAACTCGGGACAAATTTATCCACATGACTGCCACTGTTAAGTTCGACCTACCTGAGCTGTGGAGAAGTTGGGTGGGTTTCCTGCCTCCGCCTCCACACTGAGGAGCACAGAGGTTCTGGTCTCTCGGTCCAGGTCACCTACCGCTGTGATGGAGCCGGTGGACGCACTAATGGCAAACCAATTATTGCCACCAGACAGGATCCTGTATTTCACTGAAATCAGATCATGATACAAAATGAGTTGAACGGGAATTTAGTTTCAAGTTAGATAGGCATTTAGAGGTTGGAAGATCATTAGGACAGAACCCTTCTTATTGATAACAACCTCTTTATTGTACGTAACGTCTCAGGGCTACTTCTGAGGTGCCCCTGAAACATTGTTACAAACATTAAAGAAGTTGTTGGAAAAAAAGTGTTGATTTCTTCATGAATTTTTTTTGGTATTTATGGACCATTAACCATTGTGAGGAGAAACAAATCTTCTGTCCTTTTTGTGTGATTGTTGACATCACTTATCATTAACAACAAGGCCAAACTACAACCAATCATGAAAACCATTGTATTACATCACTATTGAAGCTACTTGGTTGCCGAAATGTTTAATAGATTTGGCGAAAGTATTGAAATGCTACCTCTCGGTGAGTGTGGATCTTCTGATGTTGCAGAGATGCTCCCAATGACACGGTTAGCGCCTGCACCCTCGCTGATGCTGAAGTTGTACAAGAGATGGTTGAAAGTCGGTGGAAAGGCACTGGCTCCAGTGATGCTGACCTTGACCCTGGCTGGCTGGCTGGCCTGTAGGCCACCTCCGTCAGTCGCCTGAACCTCCAGATCATAGATCCTCTCTCCATTGGGCAGCATTTTGGCAAGGGATATAACTCCTGCAAGCATAATCACTCCATTATCAACCTAGTACAGGGTACACCTTTGTCCCTACATCCTAGCATCTAAGAACAAAGACAAGTGCTATGTTATCTTTCTCAGGTCACAATCAGAGACAAACATTTTAATTCTCAAGTGACAAATAATCTTTTATTATGTACTTTCCAACTGGATCTTCATGACATTACTCTGAAAATCCCAGTGCCATTACAGTAGACTGAAAACATTCCTGCATATAGTTTCATTTCACTAAAGTCAACTACACATTTTATATTTTCAGATAAAATAGAATTTAATCAGTAGCTACAAAGCACACTGAATTATTAACCAAACACAAAATGATAACCTGTTCTGAGAGACCTTCACCTTTAGTTCCTACCTGTGCTGTTCTATCACGACAATGAAGCCATATAATCCATATTTGTTGTAACTTAATTACTGGATCATCTGGAGATTATTATTCCCCCCTCCTGACATTCAGATCACACTTTTTATTTCTCTGTCTACAAAGGACCTCATTTCGTGACTCACTTAGTTATCAATTATTAATTGTCCACCAGTCATGTTTTCATATTGAATATTTCATCTAAACCAACAAATTATTTCATTTTTTCCTCACCATTGCTCGGGTTGATGGCAAAGAGCCCCTGATTATTTCCCTTCTGGATAGAGTATCTCACTGTCCCGAACACGCCATCGTCACTGTCTTGTGCATGGACGGTCAGCAATGGCTGCAGTGACAGTCCTTCTTTGATATTGGTATTGTAGGTCGCAGGGTCAAAGACAGGGCGGTTGTCATTGACATCTTCCACCGTGATTCTCACCAAAGTGTTTGTGCTCAAACCCTCTGGAACACAAATGTATGTCAAACATAAGTATTGCTTATAAATGATACGACAATGTGTTGGAAATACGTTTGAGATGAGTGAGTTAGTTAAAAGTTAAACTTCGCATGGGCATTATTTCAGCCATATAGCAATGGGAACAAGTTGATATCAATACAAGTTAGTCATGAATACAAAGTTATTTTTTAAAACAAATTTGTCAAACATATTTGGCATTGAGATGAAGAACACAGTAAAATCAATTACTGACATTTAATTGTAATTTCAATATTAATTGAAAGTATTACATAACGACATGTACTTGAACTGAAAAATGAATTCTTCATGAGATTTGGATGATTCATATACCAAACAATGACAAATCATTGACAGATATGTTATTTCAGTGTCCAGCAACATCAAAGGAGAGTCTTTTTTCTGAAATAGTTAATTAATATTTGGACACTCCATCAAAGACTCAATTTCAAACGACTCCAAAGAAAACGAGGCAACCATCTTGTTCAAATGAAAGCATTTCCAAAGTCTTCAAAAACATCAGAAATGTTGATAATGGAAAACAATTCATTATCAAAGACAAAAAATTCAAAATTGTCACCAAAACTTAGCATTTGAGTTCAGCTTCCAAGTTACAGCTTGTACAAAACTCTAAAAGACCAACTGACACAAGGATTTAGTCATGGCTAATTTTCACAAGACAAGAACACCATATTTCCCTGTGGACTTCACCCCAAAAATGTCTGTCTTGCATGACATTCATTGGAATGACAAAAGTGCAACGAATGTCTCCTCACTGACGAGAGCCACAAATTAATCTTTGTGAGTGTCTCTGAAGTTCACAATATTGTCCCTGGACTGTACAAGTGTCTTCATGCCAAGCATGGATTGAGACAAATAATCTGATTTGTACCTCCCCTGTCATAACATGGATAAGAGTAATTATCCAGCTACATATTGTAATCAGATTGTAATCATGAAGATCAGCCAGGAAAATAACCTCTGTGGTAGATGAAGTAATGTGTGTATGCTGTTCCTAATGTCCTCAAAGAGACCCTGAGATCTGTGTAGTGGGTAACTGCACGTGATGCTGATGAGGTAATTGTATCTACAGAGTCAGTACTGTCTGGTGGCATCTCCGTCACCTGATACTCGCACATTAAACCATTCTGTGTATGTTAGTGTGCAAGGGAAGAACATATCACATCAGGTCAGAGAAATTATTATATTTCATCTCAAACATGATATTATTATGCGATATGGCAGGAATGAGCTAAATGTCACAGAGTTGTCATATTGAAACGGACTCTGCTACAATGCTGTACCATGAAATGGAGAAATTATGAAAGGATAAACTTGCAGACAAAAAATGCAGACAATTTGATTCCAAAAAATGGATTTGATGAAATATTGTTATGCCTTGATTCACTCTACTCATATAACTAATGTTTGAGCCAGTTGAATAGGCCTTCTTTTTACAAGTTGGTTTACAAAACTTTTGGTTGCTTCACAAAACTTTGGGCTTAACTTTTGGAAAAAAATATATAACTTCAGTGAGTGAGTGAGTGAGTGAGTGAGTGAGTGAGTGAGTGAATGAATGAGAGAGAGAGTGGAATCGAATCCTACCTATGAATGAAAAACAAACAGGTTTTAATGTGGCAAGACACCGAAAGATAATTGATTTTTTTGGTAAGAATATATAGGTTTTTATATACTTTATTCACCATTTCTTATGAACAACAGTGATAAAATCTCACTTGTTTTTTTTTCATTTCACCCAAAACAAATTAGTTAAAAAAGGTCATGTTATATTATTCTAATTACTGGAATAATTTGTCTGCCGGCTCGTAATCCAACCAACAATACTAAGGGCCTTACCAATTTAAATGTATTTCGGGAATATCTTGTCTATTTATAGATGACAATTCTGTTGGAACATGGCCGTCTTGTCAATACCAAGGATGCATTATTAGTGGCAGAAAGAGGGACTGGTCCACAGTGTCGTGCCCATTTGTTGTCTAGGTCATGATGTCATTATTAGTGCCATTTTAAAACTAAGACATTGCTTATGTGTAATTAGAAAATCATTAACTAGATTGATATACATAATAATAAGTGAGTTTACATGCTAACAACATGGTAATTGACTGACTCCATTCAAATTCTATGGACTGCCATTTGCCAAAGTCTAGTCCCCTATGAATGATCAGCACTGATTTACCAATACCCCGAAATAATGGCTATGGTGCCACAACCTTAATAATGTCATACATCTAGTGTAGCATTTTCTAATCCCCAGACGAAACAGTGCTGTGATCTAGTGTTGCTTAATTCTGACCAGTCTCCATCCTAAACAGTGCTGTAATCTAGTGTTTTATCTGAATGATTCGTTACCAAGGAAATTGGGGTTGCAGATAGGTGTCCAGGAAGATGGATCCCAGGGCATGAGAATGGCTTTGGTAAAGTGGATAGGTTTGGTAATATGAATGAGTATTTTATACAACTAATGTGTGGATTGGGGTTTGAGTCAATATGAGGAAGCAAACTGAGACTGGATGGGTGTTACTGCTGTGGCTTCCGGTTTAAGATTGTGAATAGGGTGGATGGTGAGATTGAGAATAGGGTGGGTGGTGAGATTGAGAATAGGGTGGATGGTGAGATTGAGAATAGGGTGGATGGGGAGATTGAGAATAGGGTGGGTGGTGAGATTGAGAATAGGGTGGATGGTGAGATTGAGAATAGAGTGGGTGGTGAGATTGAGAATAGGGTGGGTGGTGAGATTGAGAATAGGGTGGATGGTGAGATTGAGAATAGGGTGGGTGATGAGATTGAGAATAGGGTGGATGGGGAGATTGAGAATAGGGTGGATGGGTGTTTGATGTATGGTGAGGCTGAGAATAGGGTGGATGGTGAGATTGAGAATAGGGTGGATGGTGAGATTGAGAATAGGGTGGGTGATGAGATTGAGAATAGGGTGGATGGGGAGATTGAGAATAGGGTGGATGGGGAGATTGAAAATAGGGAGGATGGTGTTTGTTGTATGGGTAAATTGTGGATGCCGGCTTGAGGGAGGATGGGTGTTTGGGGGCTGTGGGTGGTTGCTGGAGGTTGTAGATAGTTGCTAGATGACATTGACAGGTGGTTGGGGTTTTGAATGGGGTTGTCAGATTGTGAATGTAGGTAAATTACTCACCTCTATCACTAGCTTTGACCATGAAATTATATGTCGGGTTCTGCTCATAATCCAAGGGGCTTGCAATACACAACTTTCCAGAATCTGAGTTGATCGAGAACTCCTGGGGACGACCAACTCCCTCCATGTCATAGGTGACTGGTGAATTTTGTCCACACTCTGGGTCAATAGCTGAGACCTGCAAAAACAATACATCTGTCATTAGTAATCCATTCAGTGATGCCAAGATGCTCACGGATATAACATAAATTCTCTCGCCATTAATTTGGGTAGCAATCTAAAGACATGTCCATGGCACTCAAACCGCAATTAGATTTCAACACTACAACATTAGAACAGATTCTATTGATCTGAAAACATAAAACTCCTAGATGACAGTTGTTGCTGAAAGTCAACTTCACGGAATCAGTTTCTGCAAATATTTTTTACTGTATATTCTTCATTTCACGGTCATACAGCCCTTACGTCAAAACTGAGAACATATCCTGGAAAAGTCACTGTCATCTGTTTCTGTGAGTGAGCAATGACCCACTCATCAAAATTCCAGATATGTAATGGTAATCTGTAAATATTTAAATCTGGACCAGACAATCCTGTGATTGATATTATGAGCAACGATCCACGCTGTGGGGCTACATTGGCATGCAATCAACAAAGTCAGCAAGCCTAACCACCCACACCCGATCCCTTTAGCCCCCTTTTACGACTATCTCCGGTTACTGGAGACCAACTCTTACCCAGAAACCCCACAGGTGAGAACATGAGTGAAAGCATGAGCGTCTGCACTGAGTCATGTACGCTTGGTGATTATCATGACACATGCCACACACAGAGTGTCCACTTGATCTCTTTCAAATACCTTTTCTTTAAAAAATACTACTACTTTTTATCAGCATAAATGTCCAAAATAACAAAACAAAAAAGAGTTACACACAAAACAATCCAACAAATATCCCCTAATTAAAGTTTAGTTTCATGTCAAAGTATTCTCCAGTTTAACTGGTGTATTAATTACAGCAGTCATCTCTACACTGAAAAGACGTGTGATTTATAGGAAGACATTTGTCACCATTTTCCATAACAAAGCTTTAAATTCCTCCATGTGAACAATGCACAGTGAGTGTACCAATGTAAGTATAACTGAAGCCGCTCTGAAGGGATCCTGTTCTGTGTGCTTGAAACAGAATATTGTGATAATCCATGCTGCGTGTTTCACAGCTCACTGACTGTGTAAAGGCTAATGTACTCAAATCCACAAAATAATGAACAGATCTCAAGCAATGACACAAATGTGAACTCCCTCATACCAGTATTATAACACTGTGATAAAGAGTGACAATTTCACCCAGATAATGTCAGATAATGTCAGATAATCTGTCAGTTTGACATGATGCTCTGTGCCGTTCTGCAAATTTGTGATCATTTTGTTCAGTTAATGTCGAAAATCCATTTAACACCATCATGTCATTAATTTGGCTCTAAAACGTAAAGTTCGAGAACATAGCAACATTTGTAACTCTTTATCAGTTCAGCTGCTGTCTACTTGTATCAAAACCCTGTCTATTTGTATCCATGCTAAATATATTTCCATGGCAAAGGCAAAGCTACAATTTCAATAACATTCATCGACCTCTCAATCATAGACCAAAATGACAATCCTTTGAAACATCTCAAATTCCTATTAAAATGTTTCAAAACCAATTCCATGAAGATTTTTCCCTAATCCACCTTAAGAATTCAGTAACAAAACTTGGACATTGTGTTGGTCATGTTAGTGTTCAGCTTTAGAGTTGGCACAATGGCTGATCCGGACTCTATCTGGCTGTACCCAGCGGGAGTGATCTGTCGGTTTGCAACTCAATAACAACCATCGAGGTGCCTAAAGTATCAACCCCATGCCACAATCGCTGCTAGTTTAAACACACACAACTATTGAAAAGGAGCGAGTGTGCCAGAGGGCGATGGAGTAACCTTCTGTCGAGACGCCAATCTAGCGTTTTACTTCAATCCCGGCATATATATTCCTCGTCACGTGTGTCATAACTCCCTAAATGACATTTCCATTGTTGTGGAAACTTCAGCATGTTCCCCTGTTATCATTCACTTTGCTGCGAATTCTGTTAAACATTTCAAGGTATTGTGTTTACAAAACGACTCCCCCCACCTTTGTATACCTTTGGGTCAGACAAGGTAGGGTGCTGCATCCCTACTTTTATACTGAACATACATAAATAACACTGGTTCAAGGTCAGCTGGGCTAATGCTTGTATTCAGGTATTCTGCTTTGCTCGTTATTCAAAACGTTGGCAATGTCTGAAGAGGGTGTTCATCAGTTTTAACAATATACATATGCAGGATTTAATATCACACTACTCTGATAGAGGATAATCATTTTGGAAAAACAGACTAACACATGTAACAGAGATTAAATGCCTTGCAAAGCAGCCAGTGGCAGGCTGTGATTATCACTATCAAGTAGCATCAATGCAACTTTGTTACACATTTCTTGCTGACATCCTTTGTGACAAATTCACAACATACTTTCACAAAGACATTCATACAAATGTAGCCATCTGATTTTGTTTTAACAAACAACATATTTAATGTAAGTTAAATGTACACATCGTATGTATCCCAACACATCTAGAACCCAGGCACTTTGGAACTTAAAATCCACATTTTTTGCTTGATGCACATGAAACCAATCCAGCATCTTAGGAGCGATAAACGGAACACATGTGTAACAAGAAAGTTGTCAAGTACATCAAACAATGACATCAATTTTTTCCAAAATGTCTGTGCAAAAGAAACAAATAGGCTCCTATTACAGCTGTCAAATCGTGGGTCTGACGGCAGTCAGATTTGTGCGGTAGCAACAAGAGTCTCTATAAATGCAATGTTTACTAACATGCGCCATGTGAAAACACGATGTAATTGCCACCATCGCTCACAAGATGGAATGCATATGTGACCTCATCTCCGCAGAGCATTGAGCAATCGACAGGCGTATATTTCAATTCATGCACAATATGCTGCATTTCTGCTGACATTTACGTGTGTTGATTGCAAATCTACTTAGATAAACAGCTCGGATGGGTGGGAGTATCCTGTGTTCAAGTTCGAGTCGGACAAGACTCCAGCCAAATGCATTTGCAAAATGACAGAGAAAATATACACGGTTTCAACAGCTTTGTATATTGCCTTAACATGTTATCCTCCCCCACAAATAAATAACTCTGAATGTGTTTATGTGTAAGAAAATAGTGTTTATTTTAGCAATGTGTATAAAAACCCTATCAATTTTCAATGAAATAAAACTCTTTGAAACAAAAGTTCACTCCTGACCTTAGCTGTTTCACAGAAATTATTAGTTTGAATAACTTGTCAACATGTTGTGAAATATTTAAAAATTCAAGACTATGGACTCAAAAAGACAGATATTTACAAAGTCAATATCACATGTCAGGACAAAGTCATTGGGGTACAAAATTGATTTCAATGCATTCATCAAATCTCTGTTATTATCTTAACAAAATCGAAACCTTTGTCTCAGCCACGTGAACAAAAATAAACAACAAAATCAAAAATTGAATAAAAAGAAAAATTGCAAACTTCAGTTTAAAGTATACCAAAGAGTTCATGAAACTAGATGAAGGTGGCTAGACATGCTTTAATTCAGGTGTTGAAAATGAAGTTTTCTATGGCTATGTTTACTGTTCATTTAGTGATTTAGCACTCCCAATGTTCTGGCCGATATCTGTTAAACACGGCCCACAAGCAGGGTGGATCCTGGCCCAGAAAACTTGAAACGCGAGGTGTGTTGACATCGGAAATGTCAGAATGTTGTGTCTGACCTCTGCGACTTGGTTACAATGTCTTGAGACATTCTGTGCCTATTACCACAAAGTCCTTAGTTCCCCCTACATTCTGTCCAAGCTGGTAACAGTTACAAAGTGGCCATTCAACTTGAACTGACATTACTAGAGCAGTTCCTTCTGGGTCACATGTGGCCCCAGTGCAAACTTTACTGGTTAGCTGGTCAGCCCATCATAAGTTCTAACTTTACTGGTTAGCTGGTCAGCTCACAGTCCTAACTTTACTGGTTAGCTGGTCAGCTCACAGTCCTAAGATTACTGGTTAGCTGGTCAGTTCATTGTCCTAACATTACTGGTTAACTGGTCAGCTCATTGTCCTCATATTACTGTTAGCTGGTCAGCTCACAGTCCTAACATTACTGGTTAACTGGTCATCTCACAGTCCTAACATTACTGGTTAACTGCATGGTCAGCTCACATTCCTAACATTACTGGTTAGCTGGTCAGCTCACAGTCCTAACTTTACTGGTCAGCTCACAGTCCTAACATTACTGGTTAGCTGGTCAGCTCACAGTCCTAACTTTACTGGTCAGCTGGTCAGCTCACAGTCCTAACTTTACTGGTCAGCTCACAGTCCTAACATTACTGGTTAGCTGGTCAGCTCACAGTCCCAACATTACTGGTTAGCTGGTCAGCTCACAGTCCTAACATTACTGGTTAGCTGGTCAGCTCATTGTCCTCATATTACTGGTTAGCTAGTCAGTTCACAGTCCCTTCAAAAGAGCTGGACATGCATACCCTTTTTGCGAACACCTGATGTCACTGATTTTCAGTGATCCATTCATATAATTTTCATGACTATTTTGCCTTTTACCCCAAGTGGCATCTGGTTCAAACAGATAATCAATACTGATTATTTCAGGTATTGATGTTTTACATTTATTCTACATGACCTGACAATATGATAGAAATTTCATGTGTAGCTTTCTAGTAACATGAGTGAGTATATTTTGTTGAATGCATGTCATGTCTACCAGTGGTTGATATCATGAGCAACAATTATAATTGTCAGGATATGATGACACATAAGCCAGTACCACAAAGCAATCTTAGCGCCACTACTGACATAAATCTGTGTTTGTTTGTTTGTTTGTTTGGTTTGGTTTGGTTGTTTTTTAACGCCGCACTCAGCAATATTCCAGCTATATGAAGGCAGTCTGTTAATAATCGAGTCTGGACCAGACAATCCAGTGCTACGATGACATGCATCAACCAAGTCAGCGAGCCTGACCACCCGATACCGTAAATCTGTGTTAAAAGTATGGGGGTTATGACCTTTTTTTAACAGGTGCCTTGGACAAAT